TGTGCGCCCAAGACCCTCCCTCCCCGTGAAAAGCAAAGCAGACAGTCTGCGGGAGGAAGACATCCCTCCCAATTACAGTCAGGACATCCCTCCCATTACAGTCAGACATCCCCCGTCTGCGGGAGGAAGATATTCCTCCCCATTACAGTCAGACATCCCCCCGTCTGTGGGAAGAAGACATCCCTCCCAGTCCCAAGCACCCCCCCGTCTGTGAAGAAGACATCCCTCCCCAGTACAGGCAAACACCCCGCCTGTGGGAGGAAGACATCCCTCCCCAGTACAAGAAAACACCCCTCCGCCTGTGGGAGGAAGACATCCCCAGTACAAGCAAACGCCCCCCCGCCTGTGGGAAGAAGACATCCCTCCCCAGTACAGGCAAACACCCCCCGCCTGTGGGAAGAAGACATCCCCAGTACAGCAACACCCCCGTCTGTGGGAAGAAGACATCCCTCCAGTACAGGCAAAACACCCCCCGCTGTGGGAGAAGACATCCTCCCAGTACAGGCAGTGGGAAGAAGACATCCCTCCCCAGTACAAGCAAACGCCCCCCCGTCTGTGGGAGGAAGACATCCCTCCCCAGTACAAGCAAACACCCCCCGCCTGTGGAAGAAAGACATCCCTCCCCAGTACATGTGTGGGAAGAAGACATCCTCCCCAGTACAAAACACCCCCCCGCCTGTGGGAAGAAGACATCCCTCCCAGTACAGCAAACACCCCCCCGCCTGTGGGAAGAAGACATCCCTCCCCAGTACAGGCAAACACCCCCCGTCTGTGGAAGAAGACATCCCTCCCCAGTACAGGCAAACCCCCCGTCTGTGGAAGAAACATCCCTCCCCAGTACAGGCAAACACCCCCCGTCTGTGGGAAGAAGACATCCTCCCCAGTACAGCAAACGCCCCCCGTCTGTGGGAAGAAGACATCCCTCCCCAGTACACAAACACCCCCCGTCTGTGGGAAGAACATCCCTCCCCAGTACAGCAAACACCCCCCCGCCTGTGGGAAGAAGACATCCCTCCCAGTACAGGCAAACACCCCCCGTCTGTGGAAGAAGACATCCCTCCCCAGTACAGGCAAACACCCCCTGCATCCCTCCCAGTACAGGCAAACACCCCCGTGTGGGAAGAAGACATCCCTGTACTAAAAGGAAAATTTGACTTGACAGTCAAAGGAAAACGACAGTCAAAGGATAACCTGACTGTCAAACGATAACTAAAGGAAAACTGACAGTCAAGAAAACTTGAGTCAAAAGAAAACCTGACTGTAAGGCCTTACAGTCAAACGATAACTAAAGGAAAACTAGTCAAGAAAACTTGACAGTCTGACTGTAAGGCCTTACAGTCAAACGATAACTAAGAAAACTTCAGTCAAGAAACTTGACAGTCAAAAGAAAACTTGTAAGGCCTTACAGTCAAACGATAACTACTTTGACAGTCAAGAAAACTTGACAGTCAAAAGAAAACCTGACTGTAAGGCCTTACAGTCAAACGATAACTAAAGGAAAACTTTGACAGTCAAGAAAACTTGACAGTCAAAAGAAAACCTGACTGTAAGGCCTTACAGTCAAACGATAACTAAAAACTTGACAGTCAAGAAACTTGACAGTCAAAAGAAAACAACTGTAAGACAGTCAAAAACTAAAAAACTTGACAGTCAAGAAAACTTGACAGTCAAAAGAAAACTTGACTGTAAACAGTCAAGATAACTAAGGAAAACTTTGACAGTCAAGAAAACTTGACAGTCAAAAGAAAACCTGACTGTAAGGCCTTACAGTCAAACGATAACTAAAGGAAAACTTTGACAGTCAAGAAAACTTGACAGTCAAAAGAAAACCTGACTGTAAGGCCTTACAGTCAAACGATAACTAGAGGAAAACTTTGACAGTCAAGAAAAACTTGACAGTCAAAGAAAACCTGAAAGAAAAACTTGAAGACAAGAGTCAAACAAAACTTGACAAAGTTGACAGTCAAAGGAAACCTGACTGTAAGGCCTTACAGTCAAAGAAAAACTTGAAGAAACTTGAGTCAAAGAAAACTCAAAGTCAAAGAAAACTTGAGTCAAAGAAAACTTGAGTCAAAGAAAACTTGAGTCAAAGAAAACTTACTTGACAAGAAAACTTGACAGTTACTTGACAGTCAAAGAAAACTTACTTGACAAGGTCAAAAGAAAACTTGACAGTCAAAGTTCAAAGGAGTCAAAGGAAAACTGACGTAAAGGCTTTCAAAGGAAAACAGTCAAAGGAAAACTCGAGTCAAAGAAAAGAAAACTCGAGTCAAAGAAAACTTGAGTCAAAGAAACTTGACAGTCAAAGAAAACTTACTTGACAGTCAAAGGAAAACCTGACTGTAAGGCCTTACAGTCAAAACTCGAGTCAAAGGAAAAACTCGAGTCAAAGAAAACTCAAAGAAAAACTCGAGTCAAAGAAAACTCAAAGAAAACAAGAAAACTCGAGTCAAAAGAAAACTCAAAGAAAACTCTCAAAGAAAAGTCAAAGAAAACTTGA